AAAAAACTTCAAACTTTTGCTTTTGTATATAAACTCCAACTCCATTTCCACTGCCGCATTTTGCTTCTCTAAGAGCAAAAGAAAAAAAAAATTAAAAATCATAAATCAAAAGAGAAGCTTTGAAAAAGAGGAAGAGAAATCGTGAAAAAAAGGTTCGCCGTTTGTGATCGGCGCCGTCTTGTTGAATTCAACATCGTTACTGAATTGCGAGTTGAAAGGCCACCGGAAGGTAGTTTGCCAGTTCGTTTTCGCTCCGATCTGAGTCGTTGAGTTTGGCTTTCCTCGACTCGTTCGTGTCTCGGATGAGTTGGTAGAGGAAAGATCGCTGCACTGGAATCGTAATGGTAATTGTGATCAAAGCTTTTGATTGCTTGTTATGTTCATAATCTTTGATTGCTTTTGATTGATTTTACTGTTCTCATTTTTTGTTTCATTTGCTTTGTTTTTGAATGAGTTGAATCGGTTAAACATGGTGGAGTGTTATTCAATCGCACATTGCTTTTGTGATACTCTGTTGGATAGGCTCATGTTTGGTATTAGATCATCAAACTTTTGTTAATCTTGTTATCTGAAAGGAAATTCTCTATCAGGTTTTTTGGCCAACTGAATCTTTTTTGATTCTCTTAATTTTCTGCTACAAAAAATTTGAACGTTTGACCTGTTACTTAGTTGAGAAAGCACAATGCATGTACTACCAATCAGGATGCTATGCTATGAACGATCACGGATAGTATTTAGTTACATCATTGTGGTAGAATTAGGTTTTTAAAGAAATAGAAAGTTAGCAATGCGTGATTCAGCTAATGAGCTAACTAAGTAAGCTGGGGGACGAAGTCATGGCAGTCATGTCGAATGTAATGTCTTTAACAGTATTGCTATGATAATAAGTTTGATGACTGCTAGTAGTGTTGCTAGCTATAGTCTATTGTTGAACTATTCTATTGCAAAATTCAAATGGAACCTCTCAAGCATTTTTCTTTATGCTAAATCATGAGCAAATTTTGGTATATCAAATATAAATTTTTTATTCCCCTAATTACATTTAATGTCACTTTCTCCATTTTATATCCCGATACAAACAATGTGACATGGATTAGTTGTTAATTTGACACCTTGGTGTCTAAGGGAAACTGTTATTGAAGTTGGAGATGTGAAGTTATACATCCATTCAAAAGTGCATATGTGTTAGGGACATGTGTAGTCGTTCTCCTATTTTTAATTCTTTCTTGGCCATGCAGGCTGCGCCAGTTAACATTATTGTAGGGACTCATGTATGGGTCGAAGATCCAGTGCTTGCCTGGATTGGTGGAGAAGTTTTTAAAATCAGTGGCGAAGACGTTCATGTTCAGACCACAGATGGGAAAACTGTGAGTTTATCTTGCCCTTTTTTTTTTTCCACTTATTTACATTTTATTTATATTTTTTGCTTTTCCATTCAAAATGTAAATTAAATCTATAAGACTTAACATCTTTTTGCCAAAATTGATTCCAATTGTTTCAAGCCTACCACCATAATTTACAGTTTTCAAGGCAGGTGGTGCTTTACCTTTTTAGTTTACTCTTGCAATTTATCAGTATAATTGACCATATTCTACTCCAAATTCAGTCTCTAAAGCTTGTTCAGTCATTTGGTGAATTTGATGTTTATGCTATAACCTCTCTTTCTTTGCTGATTATTTTGTGGTTTTGATATTCTTACTCCTGAAAACCTATGGAAGGTTGTCACAAATATCTCCAAGGTATTCCCAAAAGATACTGAAGCACCACCTGGAGGTGTAGATGACATGACAAAGCTTTCATATTTGCATGAACCAGGAGTTCTGCATAATTTGGCTGCCAGATATGAACTTAATGAAATCTATGTAAGATGCTTTCTGTTTTATCTTTTGCAAGCTGAATCATACTTTGAGGGGAAATTTTGCTGATGTGCATTGAAGAGAAGAGCCATTTATATTCCTATATACTAACTTGCTGTTTATTGGACACTTTTCCCAGACGTATACTGGAAACATCCTGATTGCTATAAACCCATTCCAAAGATTGCCACATCTATATGATACTCACATGATGGAACAATACAAAGGAGCTGCTTTTGGAGAGCTAAGCCCTCATGTCTTTGCTATTGCAGAAGTTGCATATAGGTAAAGACTAATGTTCTACTGGATACTATCATACTGGACACTTTTAAGTAATGCCCTCTCTGATTTTGTTACCTATGTAAACAGGGCAATGATCAACGAGGGAAAAAGCAACTCAATTCTTGTTAGTGGAGAAAGTGGTGCTGGTAAGACGGAGACTACAAAGATGCTCATGCGGTACCTTGCTTACCTTGGTGGTCGATCTGGAGTGGAGGGGCGGACAGTTGAGCAACAAGTTCTAGAAGTAAGATGAACAGTACACCCTTACATCTCTTGAATCTTGAGAGCAGGAATCCTTGCCTAAATTGCTGATCATGGATGGTTGATTTTGCAGTCTAATCCAGTTCTTGAAGCTTTTGGAAATGCAAAAACTGTCAGGAACAACAACTCAAGGTGAGTGAATGTTCAATTCAATTCAGGTTTGACAACTTAAAACTTAAAACCTTTTCATAAATGATAGGTAGGTTGAAATGTAAAAATTAAAAAGAAAAAAAGAACAAGCTAGTTTTCAACCTTAGAACTGTATTCAAATCCTCTGCTGAAAAACCAGAGAACTTGAAGAAATAGATTGAATTAGATTGATAAAAGCTCCCTTTATGTTTCAACCATTTCAGCTGGTCTTTTCTTGTAAAGAATTCATTTCTTCAAAGGATTGTTTTGATTCATTAATTTATTTTATTAGGATAATATCATGGGCTTAATCTAAACTTTATTTTTCTGTTTTCTTGGCATTGCTATGAAGTCGTTTCGGTAAATTTGTTGAAATTCAGTTTGACAAGAATGGGAGGATCTCTGGAGCAGCTGTGCGTACTTATTTGCTAGAAAGGTCTCGTGTCTGCCAAATTTCAGATCCTGAGAGAAACTATCATTGCTTTTATCTTCTCTGTGCTGCACCACCTGAGGTACTGATGTTTTACTTTCATACTGAATTGTTCCCTGTTATTTAAGTATCAGTCTTTCTTCCATTTCTTCCATTTGCACTGGCCACACTGGTAACTATAAAAATGAGTAATTTTTTTCATTCTAAATTTCCAGGTTAGAGAAAAGTACAAGTTGGGAAACCCAAAGACCTTCCATTACCTAAATCAATCTAACTGCTATGCACTGGATGGGGTAGATGATGCTCAGGAATATCTTGCGACTAGAAGGGCCATGGATATAGTTGGAATCAGTGAGGAAGAACAGGTCAGTTGTTTTCTTCAAAAGTTTTGTAAAACATATGTTCCTGTGCCTGTGCATTTGGATTTTTAATTATGAATATATATATATATATATTTTTCTTCTTTCAGGAGGCAATCTTTAGGGTAGTAGCTGCAATTCTACATCTTGGGAATATTGAATTTGCAAAGGGGGTAGATGTTGACTCTTCTGTCCTCAAGGATGAAAATTCTCGGTTTCATCTCAATATGACAGCTGAACTACTTAGGTATGACATGTTCTGCCTTTCTGAATGCATTTTTGGATTTTTGTATCTGTAACCACTATTTTTTTTTTTTCACAAACCATGTCATACTGCAGGTGTGATGCAAAGACCTTGGAAGATGCACTAATAAAGCGTGTAATGGTTACACCAGAAGAAATTATTACAAGAACTCTTGATCCTGTTGCTGCTCTGGGTAGTAGGGATGCCTTTGCTAAAACTATTTATTCTCGCTTGTTTGATTGGTAAAGGAACTTCACACCTATTGTATCTGCTATCTAGTAATGTGTTATGAAATAGATATTTTTCTCAACCATTACAAATGGTGAAAATGCTTAAAAACTAGTTATTTTCATTATTCAATAAATATATTTTAGATCACTTTTTGGTGTAGAGATTTCTAATAAATCCCTTCTCCATCCAGGCTTGTAGATAAAATTAACTTCTCAATTGGGCAAGATCCGAACTCGAAGACATTAATTGGAGTACTTGATATTTATGGTTTTGAAAGCTTTAAGTTCAATAGGTAACACATCTATGATCTAAATTTAGTTATAAAATTAATTTTAATATTTTTGTAAGAGTGCACCATTTGTGTATCTGTAGTTTTGAGCAGTTCTGTATCAATTTTACAAATGAAAAGCTGCAACAACATTTCAACCAGGTTTGATATCCTTTTGAATTAGTTATTTTCATCCACTTCTGATACTGCTTTGGCCAGGCATTTTCTAATATTTGGTATTTATGTTTACAGCATGTCTTTAAGATGGAGCAGGAAGAATATACCAAAGAAGAAATCAATTGGAGCTACATAGAGTTTGTTGATAACCAGGATGTGTTGGATTTGATAGAGAAGGTGTAATCTGCTTGCTTTTTTGTTATTTATTTTATGGGCTATAATCATTTGTAGAATATAGCTTCACAGTTTTCTTTCTAGTACTTCTATGCCTAGTTTTGCACTATGAAAATTAACATTCCATCTTTTGCAGAAACCAGGAGGAATTATAGCACTTCTGGATGAAGCCTGGTACGAGCTAGTCTTTAGTTCTTTTTGATACATTATCCCCTTGAAGTTGTGGAAATCTGAGTCACTATCTTCATTATGGAGATAACTGGATTTTTTTTTTTTTTTTTCATTTTAATTCAAGGAGAAGGGGCCCGTAATCCTCCATAATTTATAATTTCCCAGAAGCTTCATGCTGTCATTGTATATCCAAAATGAAAAATAACATACATGCTCTACTAGCCATCTTCCTATAGTTTCTGTTATTTTGGGCTCAACTCATTTTTATTCCTATGCACTGTGCAGTATGTTCCCTAAATCTACACATGAAACATTTGCTCAGAAGTTGTACCAGACATTCAAAAACAACAAGCGTTTCATCAAACCTAAACTTTCTCGGACTAATTTTACTATATCGCACTATGCTGGGGAGGTGAATATGTTTTCCATATTTGCATTGCTTTGCTCTATAACCTAGTGTCTGACAATAACCCATTTGCCATATTCTTCCCCCAGGTAGTTTATCTGGCTGATCTGTTCCTTGACAAAAACAAAGATTATGTAGTGGCAGAACATCAGGATCTGTTGACAGCCTCTAAGTGCCCATTTGTAGCTGCTCTATTTCCTCCCTCTCCAGAGGAGTCATCAAAATCCTCCAAATTTTCTTCCATTGGAACACGCTTTAAGGTATGATAGATTTACTTGATTTATGACCTCTCTTATCAGATGAATTTCCTATATATGGGAAGTGCTCATTTCAATAATTCAATTATGTGATTACACTGTGGCTGATTTTTCTCCTAGAAATTAAAGAATGCAAACACTTGGATTTTTGTCCACTGGAAAGGTGTTATACAGATTTTTATAAGCTTGTGAACACAGTGGACTGTGATTGTGATTCTGTTTCTTTGTTATTGATATGATAATACTATATCCTTTACATGCTTAATGATATGGCAGTCACTAGGATGAAGGAAAGAAAATTTATCCAGAACTGATTTGTCTTCTAAGTGAGGCATATTGGAGTATAGTTGTTGAAAGTTGGCACATTGTAGTTGCATTTAAAATAAAAAGTTCCACCATTTTTAAACAGCTTTACAGTGCTGTTATGAGGTAGCAAACCAACTTTTGAAAGGTGGTGATATCCTTGACATAAAATTAAGTACGAGAGGCACATTTGACATGTATAACTGTACAGAAGCTGGTTTGTAGATTTGATTATGCAATGTGTAGCTGCTTGACTTCTTAACTTGGATTAGACACATTCTGTTTCTGATATCTGAAAATTCTTTAAATACTGCAGCAACAACTTCAAGCTCTGATGGAGACACTAAATTCAACAGAACCTCACTATATCAGATGTGTGAAACCAAACAATGTCCTCAAGCCTGCAATTTTTGAGAATGCAAATATAATTCAGCAATTACGCTGTGGTGTGAGTATTATCCTACCATAAGTCTATTTGCCCACACTTAATTCTTTTTTTTGAACTTGGAAATTGGAAATTGAAAATAGGCTTTTTCTTTCAAAATAATTTCAGCTTTGGTAACTCAGATTTTCTTTATCATTTTCCCTTATGTAGGGTGTTCTTGAGGCAATCAGAATCAGCTGTGCTGGATACCCTACAAGAAGAACATTCTATGAGTTTCTTCACCGTTTTGGTGTTCTTGCTCCTGAAGTGTTGGATGGGAAGTAAGTTATGGATTTATTTTTAAGTAATTGTAACTTCAAGGACTAGGATGGCATATGCATTCGAGAGCTTAACTTCATTTTTGATAGTTAAAATTTAAAAAGTATCATTACCTTGCTTAAATGTGTGCTATTGGGCATGTTATCCTAAGAGGTTTGCTTTGCATTGGGATAATGACCTTCATTGTACTGTAATAATTGGTCAAATTTAGCACAATGCCATTTATGTTTCATTTTTGGAGCCTTCCCTGGTTTAGTTTTTTCTTCCCCCAACCATCCAAACTTATTGTGTACAGTTATGACGACAAGGTTGCATGTCAAATGATTCTGGATAAAATGGGACTGAAAGGTTATCAGGTAATTCAAGGATTTCTTTACAGCTTGTCATCCTGCCAGTTTGTATTGCATTTTGGTAGTAATTTTCAGTGTATCATATCATACTCCATTCAATATGATTGTCTTTGCAGATAGGTAAGGCAAAAGTTTTCCTTAGAGCTGGTCAAATGGCTGAGCTAGATGCAAGGAGGGCAGAGGTGCTTGGAAATGCTGCTAGAACCATTCAGAGGCAAATTCGCACATATATTGCTCGCAAAGAATTCCTTGCATTTCGAAAAGCTGCTATTGTATTGCAATCTCATTGGCGAGGTATCTTCTTTACTTGATCCTGGAAGCATGCTTCTCTGGTTTGTCACCACCAGGCTTCTGACTTCCTGAGTTACTATAATATTGTTTCTGTTAGTTCAATTACAACATAAAGTTCTATATAAAAATAGAAGCATGCAGACATAATTAGCAATAATGCTCCTTACATGTTGTCTGTTGTGTGCTTAAGTCTTTTGAGATTTCCAGCCAGTTATGACGCCACTTTCATTTCACTATAATTAGGTATTCTAGCCTGCAAACTGTATGAACAGCTTAGAAGGGAAGCAGCTGCTTTGAAGATTCAGACGAACTTCAGACTATACATTGCTAGGGAATCCTATCTAACACTAAGGTTGTCTGCCATCACATTGCAGACAGGCTTAAGGGCAATGACAGCTCGTAACGAGTTCAGATTTAGAAAACAAACTAAGGCTGCAATCATTGTTCAGGTGCCCATGTTTAGGCCTCTTCGGGTCATGTTTTTTAAGTCCTTAACAGAAAGATAACATGATTTGTAGATAGAAGTTGCAACTTAATTTCCGAAACAACCAAGGAATTATGAACTTATTTGATTAATTGAACAATGACAGACTTTTCGTTTTGTTATTACCTTTCAGGCTTATTTGCGCTGTCACATTGCATACTCATACTATAAGAGTCTTCAAAAAGCGGCAATAATTACTCAATGTGACTGGAGGAGACGGGTTGCACGGAGAGAGCTCAGAAAGCTCAAGATGGTTTGATCGCATTCCTTATTCTGGTTTTATTTTTCTGGAGGGTTTACTGCACTTGTTATTTTAAACTGAGGTTATAACTGTTAATGTAAATTAATTCAGGCTGCCCGTGAAACTGGGGCCCTTAAAGAAGCAAAAGACAAACTGGAAAAACGTGTTGAAGAACTTACATGGCGTTTACAGCTTGAAAAGCGTTTAAGGGTAATTTTCTTTTCCACCGTAACCTATGAATGTATGATCTATTATGGTACTGTTGTAATTATTCATGAAACTTGCTGTGAATTGCATTTGTCATCATTAAGATTTTTATATTCTTCTATATATCAGACTGATTTAGAAGAAGAAAAGGCACAAGAAATTGCCAAGCTGCAGGATGCTTTGCATGCTATGCAAATGCAAGTAGAGGAGGCAAATGCTAGAGTCATAAAAGAACAAGAGGCTGCTCGGAAAGCAATTGAAGAAGCACCTCCAATCATCAAGGAAACTCCTGTTATAGTTCAAGACACAGAAAAGGTTGATCGGCTTACAGCTGAAGTAGAGAGTTTGAAGGTAAGAACTAAATCTAACTTGGATGATCATTATTGATTCTATATTTTATGTCTGTTCTCCTCTCTGTTTTATGGATATTATAATTGGGAGGAAACTAAAAGAACTAAGTAATCATGAATCGATGAATCTTCATAACCGCCTCATTTCTGTGCTGTGTTTTAAGTTGTTACAGTGGACTATGACTCTCTCACCAGATCAAATCCATAATTGCATAGCCATTGAATGCGGGATGGGTATCAGGGACTCAAACAAATCACAACTGCTTATTAGTTATCTTGTTTGAAATTTAATATCACATGTCCAGACATAAATTTCTTGAATAACTAAAATTAATAATATTTGGCCAAACAAAAACTAAAGTTAATACATACTTCTTCTTCTTTTTTCCTTCTATATTAGAATCGAATACTTTGCAATATTTCAGCTTAGGCTTTAGCTTCTGAACTAAGGATTTTATGACAATTGGCTTAATTTAGATGGTTAATCTTTTGATTGAGCTCTTAGCTTGGAATCTTCTATAACAGCTGCAATAAAAGAAGTTCACTTGCTATTCAGCTGGCAAGTTGTATCTTAAATATCATTTTTGATTGGATTGATTAATCTTTAATGATGAGTCAGCCAAGATTGATCTTGTGGAGTTCCAGAGTCACCTGATGTACTGAACTATTATTCCATGCAGGCTTCGCTGCTATCAGAAAGACAAGTAGCAGAGGAGGCCAGGAAAGCTTGTACAGATGCTGAGGCAAGAAATACAGCACTGGTCAAGAAACTTGAAGATGCAGAACGAAAAGTGGATCAGCTTCAGGAATCTGTGCAGAGGTCCATTAACACCTATGCAAAGAATTCTTTGAATATGAAATAGCACTACTCTATTTAACACATGATTAACACATACATACACACAGACAAAGCACATCCTGATAAACTTGATGCACCTTCATGTCTGGCTTGTTATCATTACTGAAACCTGCGTTATCTATTCTGGTTCACTGGGATAATATTCTTTCTTTATTATTATTTTTAACATAGATTGGAAGAGAAACTTTCAAATTCAGAATCTGAGATTCAAGTCCTTCGTCAGCAAGCATTGACCATCTCACCAACTGGGAAATCTACACGACATAGACCAATGTTTATTCCGGTAAAGATTAGATGTTATGATATTTCATGTCGTTATGGTATAACATATGAAGGGAAATAAGTCTTGAGTTTTTCTTCATTATTTGCAGAGAACACCAGAGAATGGAAATGTTATTAATGGAGAAACAAAGATTACATCAGTAAGGGAGCATCATTTATAGTGATCATTGCCAAAAAAATAAATGAATAAAATAAAACAAAGCAATATGTGTGAGGATAGAAGATATTTTATCAGGCTTTTTTTTTTTTTTAATTGCACGTTATATGTTTTAGGACACGACTCTTGCTATAGCAAATGCACGTGAGCCAGAATCAGAGGAAAAACCACAGAAATCTCTCAATGAAAAGCAGCAGGTAAAAGGCTACTTATGCACATGACCTTTTGATGATATGCGCTAATGTTTTACTTGATTTTTCATTCTGGATTGTAGATTCCCCTACTTCTAGATGTACATTTTCTCTTTCTAATTTATCTTTTGAAATATGCTTTTGGTGGTTCAGGAGAACCAGGACTTGTTGATCAAGTGTATATCACAAAACTTGGGATTTTTTGGTGGCAAACCAGTTGCTGCCTGTGTCATATACAAATGCCTTCTTCATTGGAGGTCATTTGAAGTTGAAAGAACTAGTGTTTTTGACCGCATTATTCAAACAATAGCTTCAGCTGTTGAAGTAAGCACCAGTTGTATGGCTTTTAAATATTGAGTACATCGGTTATCAATGAAATTCATTGATTCTCATGACCGTTGTCTTAACTATAATCCATAATGTACCTTGAAGGTCCAGGATAATAATGATGTCTTAGTATATTGGTTGTCTAATTCATCAACATTGTTGTTGCTACTACAACATACACTGAAAGCAAGTGGAGCTGCTAGTTTGACCCCACAAAGGCGGAGAACAGCATCAGCTTCTCTGTTTGGAAGAATGTCTCAAGTAAGATAACTTACTGAAATATTTATCCTAAATTTTCAATATATTTTTCTTATTATTTCTTTTCCCACTTCATCACATAAATTGTAGGGGCTACGAGGATCTCCACAAAGTGCTACGATCTCATTTTTAAATGGGCGTGGACTGAGCAGACTTGAAGACTTGCGGCAAGTTGAGGCCAAGTATCCAGCACTACTCTTTAAACAACAGCTCACAGCCTTCCTTGAGAAGATTTATGGAATGATAAGAGACAACCTGAAGAAGGAGATCTCACCGCTGCTTGGATTATGTATTCAGGTTGGTGCTAAGTTATTTTATTGTGCATACGTTTTTTTTCTTTGGGATTTAAGAAATAGCTTAATCACTTGTCAGTAAGGAATCTTAGCAGCAACTTTTACCCTTCAGACTTGAGAGAGAATAAACTTGTAGTTTCTGGTTGACGAATCTACATTTAATACTTTTCTAGAAGCTCCATACCTCATGGTAAAATGAAGAGAATAAGTTCATACCTTAATGTCTAACCTTGTGAACATATTACTTAAAAAATAGAAGCTTTTTCCAAAACCACAGGAAACTCCTCCATGTCTGTTCTGATACAATATGTGCAGGCAAGATAGCAAATGCTCTTATCTGATTTCTTTTCCATACAATGTAGGCACCCAGGACATCACGAGCAAGTTTGGTAAAAGGACGTTCTCAAGCGAAAGCAAATGCTGTTGCTCAGCAAGCTTTAATAGCTCATTGGCAAAGCATTGTGAAAAGCTTAAACTCTTATTTGAATATAATGAAGGCAAACTATGTAAGTGATGAAGCTTTGCATGTAATCTGAAATTGCCTTCATCTAACTAGAACTGAATAATTCTATCAAATGTCTGATTGCACAGGTACCTCCCTTCTTAGTCCGCAAGGTATTCACTCAGATATTTTCCTTCATCAATGTTCAGCTATTTAACAGGTAACTTTTTTACCCTTCTGAGTGTAACTATATTCTTGTGGGCTCTGGCATCTCCATAATTCCCATACTTGATTATTCTGATAAAGTAAAAGCTACTCTTGGCTTTGGTAATAATTTGTCATGTATTTTGTGCATTCCTACAGTCTTCTTCTGCGGCGTGAGTGTTGCTCGTTTAGTAATGGAGAGTATGTGAAAGCAGGGCTGGCAGAATTAGAACAGTGGTGTTCTGAGGCAACTCAGGAAGTGAGCACTAGACAATCCCATCTAACTAGTAAATCCTGCGGACTTCTATTCTTACCTGACCTGAATTCTTGTGTACAGTATGCAGGTACAGCTTGGGATGAATTGAAACATATAAGGCAAGCTGTTGGATTCCTGGTAAGATAGGTTTTCACATTTTACTTGTTATCATATCGTGTTCACATGATTGATAAACTGTCTAACTGTTTCTTCACAACTCAGGTCATACATCAAAAGCCCAAAAAGACCTTGAATGAAATAACCAAAGAACTTTGCCCAGTAAATCCCTCTTCTTTAAATATCTTACTTTTAACCTGTACTTTCATTTTCATTTGTTTCCTTTGATACTAAATAATGTATTTTTTCTTTGCTGGCTATTCAGGTGCTCAGCATACAGCAACTATACAGGATTAGCACAATGTACTGGGATGACAAATATGGCACACATACTGTGTCATCAGAGGTAAGTAAACTTCAAATCACTGAAAGACAACGCTAATAGCTGTTTATAGCTATAACCTATTTGTTTTCGTCCTTTCTAGAATTCTGAATTAATATTTTCAGGTTATTAGCAAATTGCATTACTGAATTTTTCAAATCATACAGGTTATTTCAAGCATGAGAGTTATGATGACTGAGGACTCCAACAATGCTGTTAGCAGCTCTTTCCTACTAGATGATGACTCAAGGTAATACTTTGACAACCCTTCAGTTTCATGTGTAGCTTACCTTAACTTCGTTAGTCTTCATCTGAAAACTCAATTTATAATACATTTTAAATGCCAATGCAGCATCCCGTTCACGGTTGATGACATCTCCAAATCAATGCCACAAGTAGAGATTGCTGATATTGAACCTCCACAATTAATACGTGAAAATTCAGGTTTTGGGTTCTTACTTCCACGTTCAGAGTAAATATCATATTGTTCAAGTTTTGGGTCATGGATTCCCAGGATTTTAGTCTCATGGATGCTCTGCACTTCAATCGTCGTGCAATCATCACACCAGTCCTGTGCATATAATTACATGATTTGTCACCTCCACATGTATAATACTTTTTTCTTCCATTTCCCTAGCAACTCAGTCTTTGGGGTTTGGTTCATACATCATTCTTTTTCCCCCTTGTTCCAGGAACGAGGGGTATTTATTTGTTGAGAAGCCATATCACCAGTAGTGTGATAAGGTGCGATTATAGCAATAGGTTTGCCTCAAGCCCTCAACGGGCTTGTCATTTTTTTGTTTGATTTTTTAGTACCTTTTGGGACAAGGTGCTCCTCAAGGTACGACTGTTTTTGTTTGGTTTGCGGGTTTTTGCCAATTTTCGAGTGTAATTAATAACAGCTTCATTTTATAGGTTGCTGTTTTTTGTATGCAAGTATGAGGAATCCAATTTGTATTTAGTGATGTAAATTCAATTTTCTTTGGGTTAAGGAAATGAATCTACCCTTGTGAGCAAATTCTGTTTTATGCTTTCCCTTTCTGCATGTTGCTTCTTTTCATTTTTGTTTTTGCCTTTTATCATACGGATGTCATCAGGTTTTGTGGAAAATCCTTCCCCTGCAAATGTAGAAAAATAAAGATATATATATGGTTTTTTTTTTTCTGTGCTTAAATATTTCCTAAGATTCACCATTGTACTTAAGAGACTGTTTATCAACAAGGAATGCTAGAAGTTAAACCTAGGCTATGCTTGATTAGAAAGAAATGAAAGATAGAAATAATTTTTTTTATTAATTATATTATAATATTTAAAAACATTATATGATTGATTAAAAAGCTCTATTCTCTCCTACTAACCCTTCTATTTCCCCTAAACCAAACACATTACTCGTTCTAGCATAAGATGATGTGCTTTTGGCAACCAACTCTCATGGACTAAGGTGCTTATTTTTAATAAATCAAGTGCTGAAAGCCGGAAATCTAGCTTAAATACCCTACACATTTTCAAAGCAATCAAATTCACCCTCTGTCAACGGAATCCATTAGAAGGGACACCAAGGTATTTGGACATCTACATGGGGACTAGCAATAGGAAAAAAAATACTAGCGGTGCCCAGTCTAAGCTCCATAAGAAGCACGATATGGTCACAAACAGAAAAATGTCGAGGACTTGTGTTCATGTCATGGAAAACTTGCTATATATATATATATATATATATCTTTCGATAAAACAACCTGTTCAATATCTACAATCATCCTAGTTTGAACCTGATTCTCAAAATTCCAGTTTCTCAATAGCTTTTTCACATTCCCAACCAAAACATGCTAGAACCATATAATCAAACCAATCAATGTCATCGATTTGTAACACAAGCACTAGCTAAGCACTCTATTTTCTTATCAATCTAGCTCCTACAAGAGATGCAGGTATTAGGACTCCCGTGCCTCAGAATAGTTGCTTGTCTTCTTTGAATTTTCTGTCCCATCTGAGACTTGATCTTGGTGAATTTGTCCATTGGATTTCTTTTTCTCCTTCAAAATCACCTGTCTAGGCATCACATCTAACAAGAAGCTCCCTCCATTCCATACAGAGGCAGAGACCTTGAGTATTTGGAAAATCACATGTAATCTATAAGACAGGAAGATAGGGACAGTGAGTGCCATAGTTGCTACAGTAAAGATGGCTTGGAATCCAATGTACATCCACATGCGGTTCTGATCCCCAAGCAAGCCACTAAAACGCCACCATACATTGTTTGCTTTTTGTGCTTTTTTGGAGAGCTCCCTATGAAATCATAAAAGTTATCAGAATGAAAAGAAATTGAGCCAAACATGTTGGTTTCAGGAAACAAATCAGAACATTTCTCATTGGAGAGAGAGAACCTGTAAGAAGTCATGACTTCTGGATCTCTTAGTAGTCTCTGGCCACGTAGGACATTGACAATAAGAAAATAAAGAGCTTGCCAGACAGTGTAGACAACCAAGGGAACTGCAAACAGCCAAGTGAATAGGTAGGATTTGTCTTCCACGTAAGGCCATGAAGCTCTTCGAGAAGTTCCCTCAGGATGCATGGCTTCAAAGGTTGCTGGGTTCCACCATCGAATGGTGAAAAACACCAGTCCTGAAAAAGGGACCATGGCATTAGGATCTATAATTATTGGACAATTAGAAAAAAAAGCTTAGGCGTCTCTTTCAGAAAAAGCAATGTCCAACTAAACGCTCAAATTGTATCCATATTTTTCTTATCGCCAGTCTAAACTTGAGATGACCATTTTTATGCTTGACTGTTTCCTTGGATGGTTTCTTTGGTTCTTTTGTCTAAATAAGAACTCAAAACAAGTGCAAAACAATAAATTTTCCCGAATTAAAGTTTAATAATACGAAGTAAATGATTAAGATCAAATCACTACAAGATTATGCTTTCTATGCAAAAAAGGTTGCATTAGCTTCTCTAAAATAAAAGCATGCTAGGTACTTTAACAATTGGCAACTATAATGTAATAAATCTTTCTCATTGGTATCTTGAGCATATGATGCATAGGAAAACAAAATCTGAACAACAGCTTCTGAAAGGATAATATTGAACTAAACAATCTTTACCACCAAAGGAAAAACAAGCCCACTTCATTGTTTTCAAGATAAAGAATTGAAACTCACCAGGTAGAAGATGTATAAGGACACTAACAATTTTGTCAACAGAACTGAAAACCAAGCTACAACGCCAAATAATTATTGCCCATGCTAGTGGCCCCTGCAGCAGCATTCAAAACCATGAAAAAGTGAAACTCAATTATTCATCAATTGCCATGTATGAATGTAGTAAGAGTAAAGCACTATCAGCCTACCTCAGCAAATGAGAAGCAAACCATGAAAAGCTTTTCATTCTTTGGATATAAAAGAAGGTCAACCAAGAATATCGTGTTGGCATAGTAGCAGAAATCCTGACATACAAGAAGCACCAATTTCATGAGTTTAAGATCTTAAAACAGTATTGACTGCCATCCTTAAAACAAGATGTCAAACTCACCAGAACTCAAACTCTCACCCCCAATACTTTAAAAAGAGATACTTATCAAGAAAGGAAAAAAAAAAAAAAAATCTGACTGCAATACGGTAGAGCTTACGAGAAGATAGTAGTGCCATTTCTTGAATCTGTAGTAAATCCATCGAAGAGGAACAAAGGTGACATAAAACAAACAATATACATAAGGAATATCTTGGGGTCCTGACAATAAAAAATTAGCTGAAATGAGAAAAATAAAAAGGAAAGCAAATTATGAAATCTTTAGAATTAATTAATTTAGAAATTGCATCAATCAAAGTATCAAATGCAACTTTACTCACTTGCCCCCAAGAGAAAGCAAAAGCCTCCAAATCCAAGGACCCCCAAAAGATGTGTCACCTAAACACCAATAATCAGAAAAAAAGGAAATACAAATATAACATTAGATCAGATATTTCTCAGAAATTCATGACGAACACATAAAAACCCAATCCACAGCATAACAAACATAAATAAGATATACAGAACATTGAACATTGAATTAACTAAAGAAAACAGACAAAATGCAAAAGATTTAAAAGATTACCTTGTTGATGAAGCTTTCGTGTTCTTCTGCTTGTTTAGCAATCTTTTCGGCCTGTTTGGACAATATCTCCTTCGTTTTAGCCACTTTCTATATGAAACCAAAGACACCCAGATCGTAAAAACCACAGGAAAACACGAACATTGATCCAAACAATTAAAAAAAAAATAATAATAATAGGGTTCATCTTGTGGGTTGGGCAGTACCTTGGATTTGAACCTCTGCCTCACCTGCTCCGGTGATTCTCCCCGACTGGGGTTGGCGTCCTCCGCTGTTTCATCGTTGCGTGACATTTTGACCGGAATCAAATCGATGACGATAAGGTAAGAAAAGGACGAGGAGAAGAGTATGGTGGTTTCGCGTGAATAGATATAAAAGGGGACAGAGATTACTCAGAATGCAGGTTCTCTCTCCTTCCACGGATGTTCCCTCCTCTAAAGTCTAAACTACAATTAGAATCAACATAATCAATAACTTCCTGAATTACTAAGTTAGAAGATTATAAATTCTTATTTAGCTTCAGTTCAAAAATGAAAAATTATAAATTCTTAAAAAGGAATTATCATACTATACATAGTAATGATAGTATACAAACTTTACTAAATAAAATCACGTGTATTTTTTTTTAAATATAGGTCGTTTAATTTTTTTTATATGTATATTTAGACAATTAAAATTTTTTATATGTAATTTTTGTTGAATAATTCATTTGATTAAAAAAATTTATTATTCATATAAATATATAAAAGTATTATCTAAAATTACCAGTGAAGTGAATAGACAAATGATAAAATTAATTAAATATAAATTATTTAAATATAAATAATTGAGTTAGATTTAAATATATTAATATAATGGATTGGATTAATTTATAAAAAAGATTAATTTATATATATTTTTTTAAAATTTTGGCCAAGATGAGAACCCCCACGAGGCCCTAAAGAACAAGAAAAATTCTACACATAAATTTACAATAAAAAACCTCTCCTATCCCCATCCCATAGGAGGAATTCCTTCTTCCACCCTCGTGGCAGAGATCCTCGCCGAGACGCTACGGGAATCTAGAGAAATTGTCATCTCTAATAGCCTTTGGGATGAAGACATTTACGTGTGTTACATCCCTTGCAAAGAATATTCTCTTACCATAAAAACATGATTTTATCCTTACGATGTGTTTAGTAACTTTAGTTGCGTTTCCCCAACTTTTTCTTCTATAAATTTATCTATATATTTTCACAGTGTAATATTATAAGAAAATAATAATAATGGTATTTTTAATTTTAATTTTTATATAATTATTAATCAATAAATTTTTC